CTGAGTTGGTGGGATGTGGTGGTAAGATACTGGGTTAGATTCTGCTCTCATTTGCTTCCTGATAATTTTGTGACTTAAACTAGTAAGTGTGGCTGATTTAAAACGCCCGCCACCCCCAACCTTTAAGTGAGAGGACTCTAGCCCATTGAGTCAATTGTCCCCTTCTCGTTGCCTAGCCAACTCAAAGTTAGGTCTAACTTAATAGTGGCAAAAATTTGTTTCCTTCTCTATAGTCAGTATTTATTCAAGAAAACTGAACAGCTTTTGATGGCAGCCACCCAATGGTTACTTACAGTGTGATATCTCACTGCTCTATCAAAAATGTCATTGCATTTTTGGATTCCCTGTGTAAGCTGTATGAAGCATTCTCATTGGATGTTGGGTGGTGAAGCTAGCCTGTGCTCATTGGCAACTCGGGGAAACTGGTCTTAGCAGTATAGATAACACCGGTAATAAGAAAACACTTGCCTTAGGAGAGAGGATGAACTTTGAACAGAAATGCATAGTAACTGTTTTTGATTTTGCTGAGTCTTATTTACAGCGGAAGCTAATGAGTCTCCTGGCCGCACCCTTGGGCTGCTCTGCTGTTGTTAATGGGTGTTTTTCTAAACATATGATTGCAGTGGTTTGACTACATCTGTTTTCAAGCCTGCCTAGTTTGTGGACACACTTAAATCGGTTTTAGCTTAATTTGGTAAACAAGTAAATCAGTAACCAGCAGGGGTTTCCATCCAGCTAAGCAGATTTAAAAACTAATTTTAGTTAAACTGGTGCAACTTGCCTTTAGAAAAAGGCTAAGACTGTCTTCTGTTTAGAGGCAGGAAGTATGGGCTAGGTTTACAAGTTGAATTATGGACCCTTTGAACCACTCAGATGCCAGTTTGCGGAAGAAAGGAGGCATGACAGCAATCTTCCACTCATGTGAAGCCTAAGGATCCTGTGGTAACAGTTAAAATAACAAATAGATAAAATCCACATAGGTCTAGAAAAGTCTCTGTTTATATTCTAATACCTGCTGTAAAATAGCCTTGCCTTTATATTGTGTCTCTATTTTAAAAAATTTACAAAGTATGTATGTATGTATTGAGGAACCAGCCCTGGAATGAGCCACATTGGAAGTGAAACATGGCAGTTGTTAAACAGTAATAGCAATGCCTCACTTCAGGACAGGAAATTGAAATTACAGGAGGGAATTTGTGTAGAGGAGATGACTACCCAAATTAATAATGGCCAATGGGAGGTGAATTACCTCCAGTTGTTACAGTATGGGGATAAATTTCTGAAATGGCACATTTGATTGTGCAGCATTCTCTGGCACCATGTTGAAGCATGGGTTTAGTACAGAATAGTAAGAGTGCCACCTAGCTACATGCTCTAGCACTATGGGTGGTGGTTAGGGGTTGGTTTGAATCAATTGACTTAAAAAGTCAACAGGAGTACTTCTATTTAAGTATTTGATAAAAACCATGTAGTCTCCTGGACTGAAGGCATTGTACATACCTATAGGGCTAGTCTATAGCATGCTTGAGCAAGCACGCTTTATTAAAATCCCTTTCTGTAGTGGAGGGTGTCCAGCTATTGGAAGAAGTTGTCATGCAGGCTTCTGCATCCATGCTTGACTGTTTCTTTCCAGCAGGATTATTGCCAGCCAGGGTTTCTTTTGTAATGTGCCCAGAGTGCCTTAAGAAACAGACCAAGAGAAAGGGCTAAAAATGCTTTTAGGGATACACATGCATAAAGGCTAGAGAACAGTAATCGCAGCTCTTTATAGTGCTGTTTTTTGGGAAAAAGAGGAAAAGATCACAAATATTTTCAGTCTTTTATGTTTCTCCCCTGATATGTGGCCTGAAATCTTGAATGTCAAAAATTTTGACCATCTCTAGGTTCTTAACTTAATAACCCCTCAGTCATATATAAAAGTTATCATTTTCTGGTAGCGCAAAACTTACTTATACTATAGCAAATCCTGCTTTGCTGGAGCCAATCTCCTGCTAACTTTTACCAGATCCTAGCCATCCCACTCACGAAACAAAAACCACTCCAGAGTTTCCTGGCTTTGATGTTGCTTTTATAGCATTTGTGTATAGGCAATGCTACAGTGTGCAGAATCTTGCAAAAACACCAGCTCTTACACCCAAGCATTGATGCTGGTGGAGTGTTCAGGGCTGTCAAAGTAAAATGTCTGATGGGCTGACTCTGCCATATAAGAGTGGCTGGTGGGGGGGGAGATGGTGAATCTGAAGAATAGATGGGGACTGCAGTGGCAATGGTTGCTTTAAAAATAAATGGCGTAACTTGGTTGGTTTTTACTGTTGTACATATTTCTGGAAAGCTGGAGAAAGTCTCACTGTGTGTGCATTGCTATTGCTCATGTCCATCAGTGCACTGAATGTGCTTATAACTAAGTTGCTGTATTGAGGATTTTCACTAACATTTTACCATAGTGTTGAGATGGAAGAAAAAACCAAATCGTTATTATTAGAACAAAGTACCTGTGAGTGCCTTCTCCTAAGAGAGTGGTAATGTCACAGTGTTTCTAAAATGATGGAACAACATCCTAGTGACTAAGCTGATGGTTTAACGACTGCCATGTTTCACCTCCATTGTGGCTTATAATTACAAGACAAAGATGAATCTATCACTGGAATGGCCAAACTTACTGACCTTCCGAGCCGCATACAATAATCTTGAGAAGTTTGAGAGCTGCAAGATCTGCCGAGGTGCTGGGCTTCTGGCTCCACCGCCCCTTCATGGGGCTAAAGCCTTTTCATTCCCCTCCCTGCAGGGCAGAAACCCCTAATTCTACCACCTTGCTGCAGGGCAGATACTCCGAGTTTCTTCCCCCTTCTCATCTGGTAGGCAGAGAATGCGGGGTGCGTGGGGGGTCCACGAGCCGCACTTTAACTGTAAAAGAGCCACATGTGGCTCACGAGCCACAGGTTATCAACGCCTGATCTGTCACATCACTGTTCATCTACTTTCCTCCATCAAACTGAACTAGCAGGTTGCTTATTATGCAAAAGTTATTTACTAGATAGTAGGAGGAAAAAGACTGGTCCATTGACTTTGATGAACCATGGTTTTAATGGTGTTAGTTTACAGATGTCTCATAGATAGTCTTAAATATTAGTGGGAAAGGCCTTGAGTGGACTGTTTCTGATACCATCTGGTTCAGATGAAAACTATAAATCTGCATATTTTAAAAAGTACTTTACAGATGTTACTGTAGATTTAAAAATAAAATTACTCCAAAGGGGATATGCTGTATATCCTTCTCCTAAGTCAGGTCCTGTAATAGAGACTTTGGTGAACCGAGACATCTCTTAAAGGGACTGGAGTTCCATCTTAAAGGCCTTCTCTTCTTTGCTTAAAAAAACCCAACAAACCAAACCAAATCCCGCTGATATCCAAAGCAAATGGCTGATGGATGGCCTCTAGAATAGAGCAAATGGTTTTGTGGTTGGTTCAGTGCATGTCATCCATGGCCTCTTCCTTTTTAGTTTTTAGGGTAATCACTTTAAGGCCAAAATTACTGGAAACTTTTAATCACTTTAAAAGTTTCCAGTAACTAAACTAGCAGAAACTAGTTACCCATTCTTACTTAGTACTTGTTTTGTCACTTAATTGTGTTTGTTGCCCCCCCGCCCTCCCGTAAAATACACTTTGTATTTCTTATGAATAGTCATTAATCTGTTAACATGAAAGCTGTCTGCATGAGGTGGCTCTAATACTTTAAGTTCTCTTGAAGTGAAAGGCAAGGGAATAGCTAATTGTTTTCTGAAACTTGTTTTGTTTTTAAGTATCTAATTATAACTCTAAACAAATTCTCATATTCAAAGAATAGAGACTGATGTGCAGTGTATTTTCCCTCTTGTTATGTCTGTGTTGGTTTTTATGCACTGCTGTGGTTTTGTTTGTTTGTTTTAAGATTAGTTGTATGATCTTTAGGGGGTGGCTGTCATGCTCCTGCCAACTCTGTATGTTGTTCAATTACTTTTTGAAAGAAACAGAGAGAGAAAATCATTATTTGACAGTGGAGCTGGAAAAATTACTAGACTTCTGAATTCATAGAATATCAGGGTTGGAAGGGACCTCAGGAGGTCATCTACTCCAACCCCCTGCTCAAAGCAGGACCAATCCCCAACTAAATCATCCCAGCCAGGGCTTTGTCAAGTCCGACCTTAAAAACTTCTAAGGAAGGAGATTCCACCACCTCCCTAGGTAACGCATTCCAGTGTTTCACCACCCTCCTAGTGAAAAAGTTTTTCCTAATATCCAACCTAAACCTCCCCCACTGCAACTTGAGACCATTACTCCTCGTTCTGTCATCTGCTACCATGGAGAACAGTCTAGATCCATCCTTTTTGGAATCCCCTTTCAGGTAGTTGAAAGCAGCTATCAAATCCCCCCTCATTCTTCTCTTCCACAGACTAAACAATCCCAGATCCCTCAGTCTCTCCTCGTAAGTCATGTGTTCCAGTCCCCTAATCATTTTTGATGCCTTCCGCTGGACGTTTTCCAATTTTTCCCCATCCTTCTTGTATTGTGGGGCCCAAAACTGGACACAGTACTCCAGATGAGGCCTCACTAATGTAGAATAAGGGCAACGATCACGTCCTTCGATCTGCTGGCAATGCCCCTACTTATACGTCCCAAAATGCCATTGGCGTTCTTGGCAACAAGGGCACACTGTTGACTCATATCCAGCTTTTCGTCCACTGTAACCCCTAGGTCCTTTTCTGCAGAACTGCTGCCTAGCCATTCGGTCCCTAGTCTGTAGCGGTGCATTGGATTCTTCCATCCTAAGTGCAGGACTCTGCACTTGTCCTTGTTGAACCTCATCAGATTTCTTTTGGCTCAATCCTCTAATTTGTCTAGGTCCCTCTGTATCCTATACCTACCCTCCAGCATTGCATTGTATTAAGAAATAGTTTTTCCTCTTGGTAAACTACAGTGTTGTTAATAAATGAAATCCTAATCACTATAATTTTGCTTTTTAGTTTTTCCAATCTGAGAATTTACCCTCATGGATTAGTATTGGTGGATCTGCAGAGCCACAGTGATGATATTAAAGGAAGAGATGAAATTGATCATGTAAGTATACCATTAGCCATCTCAAAGCACATAGAAGAAATCCTAGCAGTTTCTTTGAATATGTCAGTGTGGATCCCACTATAGGTAAATGTGTCCACAAGATCTGAGTCTTTTGAATAGCAGTGTCTGTTGCAGCTGGCCATGCATCCTGTACCTCCTTGTGCTCTCATGCAGGAGTAAAAGTGGCTGCCACCCTCCCCTCGCCTCTTACCACCTGTGGCAACAAAATAAAACCGTGGTGTCCAGCCCACTATCTCTTAGTGTTGGCTAAATCTTCTGCCTGACTCTATCTACCTGATTTAGACTCAAGAACTAACACTGTGTGTGTGTGTGTATACATACTTGCTCTAGTATACTGATAGAACTAAATCTTTCAGGATGTCTTTTTGTGGCCATATGAGGCTACTTAGGACATTTTACCTAGCTAGATCACCAGATGGCTGGTGTACCTCTCCCTCCAAATGTGAAGGCCCACTCCACTGGAGCACAAACAATGTCTTCTGCCAGTTTCAGGAATATCTACAAGGCAGCAGTATGGAGTAACCCACTGACTTTTGTCAAACTTCATGCCCTTAACTTAGCAGCCAGGTCAGATGCCAAGTTTGGGAGAGCTGTACTGCAACTGCTGTTCAACTGAAGCGCCTTATTCCCACCATCCGGAGGTGACACTGCTTAGTGGTAGTGCAAACTTCCATATGCTGCTGTGTCTTAATGCCAAGTTGGAGAATCAGCTACCTTTTTACTTAGAATGAGAGCCTCTGTATGCCCATTTGATCCTTGGCCTCCAGGCTGATACTGTCAATAAATGTGCCAATTGTGGTTGTAGCTGCTGTCATGTGGATACTATTCACTAGGAATTGGGCTAAGACTGCTAACTTCACATTGTCATAAAGTTGACCAGATCTGTATTGGTAACTTACAAGTGAAAGGCTGTGTGTCATTACTTTTCTCTTGAGACACCCAGTGTGACAGGGTGTGTAAACACCGCATTGAAAGGGCCAGGGCCAGCGTGGGCTCTGTGTGCTAAGGTAGCTATGCCACTCATGCATGGTAAAGAGGAAACTACTATCAGCAAGGGGGAAGTCCTGAGAAGGAAGTGGCTGCTGAAGCAATAGGAGGAACCTCCCAATGCCAGAGATCCTATACCTCCCTTGTGTCATTGCCCTCCCACTCCCCTCCCCCCCCCCCCCCCCCGGCTCTGCAAGGAGTCAGGTGAACCTCAGAGAAGCCCAGGAGGGAGAGACTGGCGTGGCTACCTGGCCAAGAGTCCATAAAGCTGCTACCCAGGCACCCCCAAAGTAAGGTGGTGCTACTGACCTCTTTCAAACTCAGCCTCAAGCCTAACGCCTTCCTTCCATCTAAACGCAAATTGTGTTAACTCAGGGCTTGGACCCAGGCTCTCAGGACTCCACGAGCCCGAGTCAAGCCAGGATCCAGGGTTTGAGACCTGTTGCTTTACAGGGTAGACACAGCCCAACTGGACTTGTGCTTTGGGAGTCCACCAAAGGCATTCCATGCTCCCAGGTGCTGACTTTCTTTGTCCTCTTGACAGTCAAGTGTGGTGGTTAGTCAAGGTTTCCCACACTGCATCATGAACCAAGGGTTAGAGCGGCCCTGTGTTGGGAGGGTACTAGGAAGTTGGGTGACTGGACTCAGGCCCACATAATGCAGTGTAGATGCTGGTTGGGACCCAGGGTTCGACAATTCCTAACCTGGGGTTACAAATGAGTTTAGACACTCAAGCTGCAAGTTAACAAACCCATGGACTGCTAACTGGAATTCTGCTGACTCTGGGCTCTTACCCTTTGGGCTCTTACCCATACACAGCAATTAAACATCTGTGGCTGGCTGGGTCAGCTGACTTGGACTTGTGGGGCTATAAAATTTCTGTGCTGACGTTCAGGCCCAAGCCTGAACATCTGTACTGCAAGTTTTCAGCCCTGCAAGGCTGACTCAGGCCAGCTGACTCGGGCTTGTGGGGCTCGGGTTGTGGGGCTGATAAATTGTGGTGTAGGTGTTCTAGCTCAGGTTGCAGCTTGAGTCCTGGGACCCTCCCACCTCACAGGGGTCGTAGAGCCCCAAACCCAGCCTAAGCCGGAAGTCTACACTGCCGCTGAACAGTCCCACAGCCTGAACCTGGCGAGCCCGAGTCAGCTGGCATGGGCCAGCCACGGGTGTCTAATGGCAGTGTAGACATGCCCTAAGGTGCTGGGGCCTGGACTGGGCTGGGCTGACCTCCGGGTGATAATTGGGCGTGACCAGGGGCCCCAACCCAGCTGTATAGGCACCACAGGGAGACTCTTTTTACACATTATTTAACACTGTTTCAAATTACTGTATCGTGGGTGGGGAAGTGTATTTCTGAACTTCGTAAATTCAACATCTTTCATGTTTCTTACAGCTACTAAATAAGATAGAAGAAAGAATGAAAGAGTTGTTTCACAGCAGTATCAAAAGGGTAAAGCGGTATGTTATTTTTAATGTATCATCACCATTTAACTTGATTTACATTAACATTGAAAGTGAGTCAAATCCTGCTTTGTTACACAGGTGTAAGTAGGGCCTAATTCTTCTGAAGCCAGGGAATCACTCTGGATTGACACAGAATTTGGTTCAACGTTTTGATCCTGTAGTGTAGTGGACAGGTCTGTGGACATACCTTTTGATTTACTGCTAATTTTTCTTTCTAATCCTCAGATTTGTTCAAACAAATGCATGTATATAAATATATTTTTGTATAATTTTTTGAAAAATTCATATGGCAGTTAACTTCTATAATAAATACCTGTTCAAAGAAACACTGTCAAGATTGGTAGGCGCAAAACTGAGTTCTTGGTATATAGCAAATTCCACATTACTTTTTTTTTAATGGGAGATTTTTGTTTCCCAGACACATTCTATAGTGCTGTCTAGTACTGGTAAGCAATCCTGTTGTAACGTACCAATAGCAACTATCTCTGCTGTGGTGGAGTTTGTAAGGAAACTCAGTTTCAGGTTTCTAAGAGGCTATTAAAATCACCAATAATAAATTACTGCCTTTATCTATATCTATATATAATTTTTAGAGAGAGATACACACAGTCTGTTATTGGTTTGGTTTTTTTTGTTTGTTTTGTTTAAGTCTGAGCATGTCTGCTTTCTCAATACCTATAAATGTGGTGGTTTTATTTCAGAATTAATAAATATTGCCACTCGGCTTGTTGTTAAAATTGTACATAGACTAAGCCATTGTGTAATACTAATCCTTTGCATACTATGTAATAATTATGGTACATGAAGAGAGAAAGGGAATCCAAAATAAAGAAAAAGTAGTTTGAAATATTTTCATAACAATTGAGTTGAATAAATAAAAAAATCAGAGAAAATAGCATTTTAATTTCAGTTTGATATTTTGATGTGCTCAAATGGTGAGGCTATCTTGTCCATGTGTGTTTATTTTATAAGGACTGCAAAGGTCTTTCACTCTCAAAGCAGAACAGCCAGAAATTGCAGGTCCTGATTTTTTTTGCCTTCCCATATTTGTGCTTGTCGATGTATATTTTTGTACTTTCTCCCACTGTGTACTGCCATCTAGTGTCTCTCAGAAGGTATAATTTTGACTTTTGTCCTTTAGAATCACTGGGCATTCAAAAGATCAATTTATATTTTCAAAAAGCTTAATTTTCCTAAATATGAAACAAATTAAATCAGTGTTTAGACGGTCTTGCACAGAAGAATAACAAAAGCATTTTGATCTGTTGGTGTCACCTTAACCATGAACGCTGAATGTGAATTTGTCTTTTTAAAGCTAACTAATTTTTTAAAACTGAACTTATACTCGATTAAGAAATTGTAAAATGACTTACTAGATTCATCCAACTTTGAGGCTGCATATCTGAGCCAGACTTTCAGAAATTAATGCAAATTCTGGTGGAAACATCCAAATGTGTTTCACATCTACGTTAAGAATAAAGGCAGACAGTGCTTAAACTTGTTTGGTGTCTTTTTGCCCATGTTCTGCATTTGTGTCATTAATTTCAGTTTCTAGTTTCAAATTAAGTGTCTAGTGTTCCACAAATCCTCTTCCCCAGGATAAAAGACTGATTCACACACAGGTTGCTAGAGTAGTGCTAAATTAAAGTATCAACACGCAGATTCTCCTGTAGACACTAGCAATCCTTGTATATTTGACTGCTAGCTAAAATATTTCAAATAACCTTCATGAGCATTACACACAAATTGGAATAACTTTGTATACAGTGCAATTTTACTGAATACAAGAAAAATGTAAAAATCACATTGAAAATTTTTATTTTTTGTATGAATGCTATTTGGATTGTATTTTCTTGCAAAATCATAGATTAAACGTGTATTTGAGTTGGTGTCCACAACATTCAGTTATGTAGTACTGCATTCCTAATGATGATAAGAAAATGTTAAGTACTATGGGGTGGGAGAGCATCTCTCATGTATTGTATTCATGCTAAATTAAAGGAGAATGAGGAATGTTTGTTAACTTTCAGAGTGAATCGTGAATAGTTTTTGTTTTCCCCTTCCTTAGATTGCCAGCAACTGTGAGAGGAGGAGCCATTGATAGATACTGGCCCACGGCTGATGGGCGTTTGGTAGAGTATGACATAGATGAGGTTGTTTATGACGAAGAGTCGCCTTATCAGAATATTAAAATTCTACATTCGAAACAGTTTGGGAATATTCTTATCCTCAGTGGGGATGTTAGTAAGTATAGTCTTTTTACAATGTGCTAAAGCTGTAGGTCATTTGGAGTCTATCTTGTCAGAACACCCCTTTGTTAGTTTCCCTGCAAGTAAGAGGTTGTGTGGATTTTTTTGGGCGGTGTGTGTGTGTGTGTGTGCGTGTGCGTGTTTTAAAGGCACCCTTTTCAAAGTATCAAACAGAAAGTTTCAGAGAAAATGTATAAGTGAAGAAAACTCTCTTATATTTAACCCTTTCCCACTCCCCAGGCTATGCAACCTCTGAGAGCTACTTTAATGGACAGGAAAGCAAACTCAGTGATCTATCTTCTAAACAACTGCCCATTATTTTAAAAGACAAATGAAATGATTTTCCCTAGTCTGCCTTAAGGTTTCATAACCTTGTTAGATGGCTTATTTCCCCCTGTAAAATATTTGGGCCTTTGGCGACTTGCTTTCTACTTGTTAACTAATTTTCTTTGGTTGAGGCCAGCTAGGGGTAGCCAAATCTCAGCCTTTTAGCAGTCTCAATCTCTCCATCAATACTACTTCTTCGAGTACTTGTACATGTCCATTCTGATTTGGGTGTGTGCATGCCCTGAGCACAGCTGTCGGGAATGTTTCCTCTAGTGGTATCCGATGGCTTAGCTCTGGCACCCCCTGGAGCTGTGTGATCATAGAACTGATATAAGGGGCCCGCTGAGCCTGTGCTCTTCAGTTCCTTCTTACTGTCCGTGAGGGCTGTTGGAACTGCCTCTTTGCGTTTGCAAAGTGCCTTTAGTGGTTCTCTCTATAGTTTTCCTGTACATAGTTTCTTAGTCTAGTTTTTAGTTGTTTTAGTGTAGTAGGGGTAGGGCTCCTCTCCATGCCCGGAGAGGCTGTCCATCCCTCCCCCAGTACCGGGGCATGCCTCGGTCACTGGGGTTTAAACAGTGTGCTTCCTGTGGCAAGCCTATGCCTACCAGTGACCCTCACTTAAGTTGTCTCAAGTGTCTGGAGGAGGGCCACAGGAAAGAACATTGCCAGATCTGCCGTGATTTCAAACCCCTATGGTGCGCTTTGCAGGCATTGTGTAGACAAATAAATAAATATATATAATAAAATGATAGCCCAGGGAACTGCTCAATTAACTGAGGTGTAAGAAAAAGCCAATGAATTAGCAGAGGGTATGCAGTAATGCCCCCACCTGCAACTGGCTGCTTGTGGTCACATCTGCACAGAGTTCACTGACCCTAGTAGGGGTCATCATGCAGATCTACCCATGCAAAGTAAATGATGGGATGGGGACCGAAGTAACCATAAAAATTCCATGCAGGGAAAGCCCTTAGTTCTGGCATGTCCTCACTTTGGAGAGCTGGACTTTGTAACGTTAACACTTGTAAGTGTTGGTGTTTTTGTTCTGGAAGAATATAAAATCCATGCTGGTTTTCACACTGACAATACACAGCATTGCTTTTAAGATGCATCTGGTCTACTGTAGTTAGTAATTAACAGACTTACAAATGCAAAGCTTCTGACCAACTTTCTCTTTGTTCCTTCCAGATCTGGCAGAGAGTGACCTGGCATATACGCAAGCCATAATGGGCAGTGGGAAAGAAGACTTCACTGGGAAAGAAGTGCTGATCCTAGGAGGTGGTGATGGGGGTATACTGTATGAAATAGTCAAACTGAAACCAAAGATGGTCACCATGGTGGAGATATCCTTTCAACAAATGACCATTCATGTTAATAATCCAGCATACTCTTCCTTATGTATCTTGGGACCTCAAGTTAAATGTCTCTTGTATGAACTTGTGTTGGGAGACTGGTTCTGTCTAAGCCAAAAAATAGGAATGGTTTTAGACCCAATCACTACAACATGCAGGCACTGACTGTGAGATCTGATCCTGGCCAAGTTCCTAATCCAAATCGTAGCTCTCGAACAGCATTTTCTGCACTTTGATTGAATCCTGATTTCCTTATTTAGGTAACTTAAAGCCATTGATGTCTGATTAAAGACTTCAGGATTTGGTTCTTAATGATGATGGCATATGTCAACCGTATCCTCTTTCTCAGATATCAGTTAAAGAAAATGATCCAAAGGTGGCTTCATAAATAAGATTTCAAAGTTCCATTTTCCAGATCTGATTTGCTATTAGTCACTGTACATAGCAAATTTCATTAGTCTATAAACCAAAATAATTATCATCATCATTGTATTAAAACAGTACACTTTTAAAATGTATGGTAAATTATGGTGCCAACAATGCTGGTTGGAAAGAATTTTTTTTTAATATAAATAATATCTTAAACCTCTAATTGAGGTTGGGAATGAATTCCTAATCCTAGATGTTGCAGTAAATATGTATTACTATTACTATTCCTCCATAAGATTGACTGTATCTCTTTGATAAAAGGATAAAACCCCCAAAACTTTGGTTAATAAAAGGTGAACAGAATTTAATGTTCCTTAACTAACATCAAACATTGACCAAATGGTGATCGACGGGTGTAGAAAATACATGCGTAAAACATGTGGAGATGTCTTAGACAATCTTAAAGGAGAATGCTATCAGGTAATCTATCTGTTGCCTTCATTGCAAGTAACTTTTACAAATGAAAATATGATTTAGATCTAGATTTAGATCTGGCAATTTATTGTTTTGGGAAGTTTTTTGTATGCCATCTGACTTCTTAACATTTTCTTTCCTACTATTTTAGGCTTAATCCATATCTGCATTTCTGAATCATGGTATAGTTTGCACTAGGGTTTGGATTCAAAACACTGATTCATTAATTTTGGAATATTTAACTCTGCCTCTCCAAACCCACTCTGCTTTCTTAATATTTACAACCCACACTTGGAATAATAAAGAAACTTGAAGCGTAATAATGCATATTGGCATCACCAAACCTTGTTAGTAGCTGAGTGAAAATAGGTAATATTAATATAAAATTAGAGTATGGTATCTAATAACTCCCAGTATAAACTGGCTGAGAAGTAATGCAAATCATAAGCTTAATTCAATTGCTAGTACATCATTCAGAATCTCAGATATAGTTCACATGATTGAGGGGTTAATTTGGTTTTATCTGTGCTATTATTTGCTTGAAATCTGTTGGCAAATTCTATTCATACGAGTAAATATTCTACCCTCTTTCCCCCATTGGAAGAAAGAAGAAACTGGGTTACTGAGAAGGGTATGTAACATATCATGTCTGTCAGAGCAGGTAAACTAGCCCACAGCTACTGGATCATAATTCGGTATCTTAACTGCAAGGTTATTCTTCCTAAGGACATATCTTTGAATACTTGCTAGTTTTCTTGGAGAAAAACTAGCAAAAATTGCATGATATTTTGCATGTGTTAAGTGCCTTTCATCCAAGGATCTCAAAACTTGCCACTATCTTGTGAGGCTAGTAACTACTTCCCCATCTAAAAAATGGGGAATAACAGAGGCACAAGTGATCTAAGTCGTCATCCAGCAGTCGGTGACAGAGCTGGGAATGGAAATTCTGATTCGCTGCTGCATCACTCCCGCGCTCCATCCCCCACGCATTGCCTTCTATATGGAGATATAAAAAGCTAAGATTAGAACCTTATGTTAAAGTCAGACTTAATTCTGACCTTTTTCCCTATTTCAATGCTTATACATCATATTAGTCCAGTCAGTTTAAGAAGATTTTGATCACTTATTAAAACATAGTAATTTTTTAGGTTCTAATAGAAGACTGTGTTCCAGTACTGAAGAGGTATGCCAAAGAAGGAAGGATGTTTGATTATGTAATTAATGATCTGACAGCTGTTCCAATCTCCACATCTCCTGAAGAAGGTTAATTCTTTGTTTATACTAACTGTTTTTAACACTTCGCTTTCTTGACAGTTTGCAGCAAAATATTATTTTGGGGGTTAAAATGAGGGGGATCTTTTTACCTTATGTGATGCTTGCTGCTTGGGGGTACCCTGCGTTGTGAGGAACCTTGCTGCCCCTTCTGCATCCTGCCCCATCCTCCTGGCTTCACCTTGAGGAAACCTTGTCTGTACCTGCCATGGGTCAGCTCCCCAACTCCATGGGCAACACAAGCATGCTCTTCTAGGCCTACTCAGCCCTGCTGACTCTCTGCAGGTTAGTGAAAGGCACACTCCAACTCCGGAGCATCTGCCTGGATTGTCTAGTCCCATGGGGCTCCTGGGTCACAGCCAGTTGTACCAAAAGCTAAATAGCAGAGTGCAGTGATGGGGTACACCTACACTGCAAAAAAAACCAACCCCAAAACAAAACCTGTGGCAGGGAATCTCAGCCTGGGTCATTTCATGCGGGGCTAAAAACAGTAGTGTCAGTGTTCCCAGTTGGGCCGGAGCACAGGCTCTGAGACCACCCCGTCTTGCTGTGGGAACATCTGCAGTGCTATTTTTACCCCTGTAGTGTGAGCCTGAGTCAGTTGATGTGGGCTCTAAGACTCTGCCATGGCTTTTTCCCCTGCAGAAGTATAGACATATATCCACAAGTACATCGTTCCTCCCGAAGGCCCCCCCCCCCTTTTCTGGATATTGGTGGTGATGGGGACCTAGTCACTGCACAGCAATGAACCCAACTGTACACTTACTAAGAGTTTATTTCAGCCATGTCAGAGTCTCATTCAGCAGTGCGTGGGGTGGTATTCGCAGCAGTTTCTGTAAGTAACATGCTCTTTTGAGACCAGAGATGTTCTCATAATTAGGAGCACTAGGAAGAAAAGCAAGGGGGGGGAGGAAAGGGAGTGCACATGCATGCAGGTGGAGAGAAGAATTGTGACTATCAGGACTTCTAAATTTTAGCATTCAGTTCCTGAATTGGGAAAAAGGGGAAGTGAGGAGCACTTTCCTTGCAAATTTTGAAGTAAATGTCACAGAAGAATCTTTATTTTCCCCCACCTCCACTTCCCGAGTTGAATTTAAACAGTACAGCTAGTTTATAAACTATGGAAGACTTTGGAAACACAAATCTGTTTTTTACAGCTTGCCATAGATTTGTGACCTACAGAACATGAATGTACGTTTTCTTTAATTGGGTCTTATGAAATTGGGGGACACGTTATTTTATGTTCTCAGGCAGGGAGATGTGTTTTTTAAAATAAATGTAATAGTGTATCCCTATATTTGAGTTGCTGCTCTAGCATGTACATTTTTGGAGCACTTTTTGCCCAGATTTCTTTTCTGTTTGGAGCATTTCTTCCCTCTCCTCCCATTTACGCTGAAAGTTGAGGTCCTTTTTCAAAACAGTTGAGGACTTCAGAATTATTATGTACTATATCACCATTCTGTTAAAATATGGATGTGGAACACTTTAGGGAACATAAGATACCTTCCCTATGGAGAATAGAATTTTCCTTGCAGAAGACACAGTGGGGCTGGAATGACTAGAGGAAGTTGAAGTCTTATTGTGCTATATGTTGAAGGACAGTAAGATCTCAATATTTCATTAGGTGGCGCTATTTTAGGTCTCTTTCCTGTAATGCCTTCTAGATGACAGATAACTGTTAGCTTGAGTTGCCGATTGCAGTTATGCTTGAGAAATAAGTTAAATCTTCCTGAGGGTTAGTGTAATGCATTCATCCAATGACGTAAAGAATCACATTACATTTTTTCTTCTGCAGATTTTTCTTATTTTCAGGGCTCTGGAGCTGTTCATCTTGAACTGCTCCCAATATGCACCTTGCAGTGTGGAAAAATTAGAGCTGAAGGGGGAATGTCACGCATCTAACCTCCATAGTTTAGGATTGCAGGCTTGCTTCTTCTATGCCCTTGGCTGGGTGGAAACTGCATTACCTTATTGGTAATGAAATACTTTTCTATTGATATTCTGTGCTTAAAAAGTCCAATTACTGGCATCGAAGACTTGATTTTTTTTCCTGAAATTTTCTTTGTTTACCCTTTAGTTTGACTTTAAGCACAGTCAGCTGAATAGTGGGAACTCATGAAAATACGTGTGGGAATTCACACTACAGGTTATGGAAAGTCTCTCAGAAATGCTTAAAAAACCTGACAAAAATCCAAACAGCCCACGTGCTGGTAATCAACACTTTATTTAAACTAATGATGGAGAAAAATAATCATCCTGCTGAAATATTCCGTAGCAGTGCTTAAATATTAGTTATGTAATGCTTAGCAAGCCACTAGTACTTGAAAATTCTAATTCATTCTTTATATCCAGATTCTACATGGGAGTTTCTACGATTGATTCTTGACCTTTCAATGAAAGTCCTGAAACATGATGGAAAATATTTCACGCAGGTATGACACTGTGATTAAAAGAAATAATTCTGCATTCTCTCTCTATATAGTGACTTACATTTTCGGATCTTGAAAAAATACTGTCTGACTTTTTCTTTAATATATTGCTAGGGATATTTGTTTGAAACATGGTCTTTGTTGCTGCTGACTCATTTGTTTCTGGTGGTGCATGTTCTCAGCTGAGGTCATAGTGTATTAGTTTTGACATTTATAATCACTTCTTCAGAAACTAGTTGGCTTGTCACAGAGGATTATGTCTTCAAGTGGTGTTTAAAAAAGCAAGAACTGGTGAATTGTTAAACAATGAACCAGTTTTCAGGCCAATGGCTCTAGTAATATATAAACAAAAGATGAAAACTTATGTTGTCCATAAGGCATGAGTGAGTTGAAAACTGACCTACTGGGTGCTGAACCAGCAATAAATGGAGAGTTAATAAAGAACACATCCCCATAGTATGTTTAGATTGCTAGCTCCAACTTCAAGGACCAGATTTGCAAATGTAAATTTTTGCCTGCATTTTTCCAGCCACAAAATTAGAGGCAACTTTTGAAAACCTGGTCTAATTTTGGCACTTGTAAAAACACTTCAGGTGAAGATAGTGGCAAAACTCTGATTTCCAAAAAGAAAAGGAGTACTTGTGGCACCTCCAAGTGCCCATTAATGTTGAAACCTCTGGCCTAATATTCATTAACTTAAATGATTGAAAAAATATAAAAGCCTTTTAATATAGTAACTGATGTAAAACCACTTCAGGTGTAATTCTAATCAAACTTTCACTGGAAGAGACTTTTAAAATATTGTGATGCTTTCTCTGGGTGCCCAAAACCGTAAGCCACTGTTACCCCTCTGCCTCAGCAAGAGAGAGCTTTGCTGGAGCTTAAACTGTGTGTCGGGTCCCTGCCACACCATTGTGTCCACCTCACCAGCAAACTCCTCAAGATTCTGTCAGTCTTAACCTAGCCTTGAAGGTAACATTCAGTGAACCCGAGTTCCTGACGGCCCTGGGAGAGCGTTCCTCTGCAGTATTCAGCTCCTATCACTAGACATTCACAGAAAGTATCAAGTTTACTGCATCTAAAGAGGCAGTGTATGCACCAGCCTGTTAATTTAGCTGACAATCCACACTTTAATGCACAACACTGCATTATGATAAAACCAAAAGTAAGTCTATTAATAAGAATAGCGATGTAAGTGAGAATAAGCAAGAATAATAGAAACAGAAAATGGTGACAAAACAAAAATAAAACATATTTTCCAGTGTCTAAAATTTAACAGATTACAATCTTGGTCTCAGGCAATTTCACTGTTACAGTCAGATCAGTGTCCTCAACCCACATGGCTGAGTGATCCACTTTTCATAGATTTCAGGAGTACTGGCCTCTGTGTCCATTAAGTAATGGCTTCTTGCTTATCTTTATACTTCTCCAAACTCATTGTTTTGTCTCCAGAAGCAGGATGACCCCCCGCTGTTCATCTCCTCCTGTTGACTTCCCATCCCCCTGTTGACTCATATGTAGATGGAGCTTCCATTGTGTTGGTTCCATGTTGCCTAATTTATATTAGGGAGAGGGAGAGAGCTACCTTCCCTCTCTCTGAGAGAAACCGTGTTTCTCCCTTTGGCTTTGGCTACACTTGCACGTTATACCACAATAAAGCCTACCAGGGCGCTCTACCTTACTCCCCGTCCACACTGGCAAGGCACGTAGAGCTCTCTGACTCCCTGGCTGGAGCGCTCCTGGTACTCCACCTCCCCGAGAGGATTAACAGCTGTTGCGCATTGGCTGAGATGCTCCAGCTCCAGTGTAAACGGAGCTGGATTGACCTCCGGAAACTCCCCATAATCCTTTTAATTGAAGCGTCCTGTCTTGTTTTGTTGTGAACTCCGGACGCGGAAGTGCCGTTTCCGGGGGGGCTGCTTATCGAAAAAACAAAACACAGCTACTGTTTGCTTTGAGTGAGTGAGGGGCAGGCGGAGGGCTCTGTTTGGAGCGACAGCTAATGTTTGCTTGAAGAGAGAGGCAGCAGGGGGAAGGGAGGGGAGGGGAGGGGCAGGGGATTGGGGTCCCTTTCCGAAAGCGGCTGCTTATCTCATCTATGAGAAAAAAAAGAAACAGCTGCTGTTTGCTTTCAGTGAGTGAGAGAGAGGCGGGGGGAGGGAGGAAGATCTGTTACTTACAAGGTACTGACACACTCTCAGCACCCCAAAAAACACTTTCTCCCCCCCACACTCCCTGTCACACTCCACCCACCCCTCCCCCATTTGAAAAGCACATTGCAACCACTTGAATGCTGGGACAGCTGCCCATAATGCACCACTCCCAATGCAGCTGCAAGTGCTGCAAATGTGGCCACTGCAGCTCTTTCCCTACTCAGCTGTACGAAGGCGGGTTTAACTCACAGCGCTGTATGTCTGTAAGTATAGCCAAGGCTTTAGTCTGATTAGACTTGAGTGCATAATATCAATGAGTATCCATGCTTCCTCACAGTACATACATTAATTAATCATTAATTAATACATACATTTCACAATGATATTCATGACCAGTGTGTTGCTGGCTTTCATAAAAGACCTTACTTAATACACTTTTATAGTATAATAGTATTGTATACAGTATTCAGTTGCTTATTTTGGAGCTTTCAAGCCCCTTTTCTTCCTCTGGGATGTCTGGACTCTGCTTATCACAAATATGTAGTCATAACTGCACATACAGTTTTCTATCATTGTTTTAAACATAAAATGTTTGCTGCTATTTTCTGTTCTCCAGCACATATCTGAACTGTAACTCTTAAGGTATTTTTTTTTCCTCCCTATGCACTCAGCATAACTTGTCTTTCAATATATCTAGCATGCAGCTGTAGTATGTTGAATTTTTTTTCCACTTAGTACTCTGCAATAATTCTTGAATGGCGAACAAGTCTGTGAACTTAATGTCTGTCTAAGCTAGGCGTTTGTAAAGGAAATGGCTTTTATGCTAGATTGCAGTGCGTAAGTTCCCAAAAAAATAAGGTTGGCCTACAAAAGCCCCCCCAGCCACCACCACCACTTATTTTGTGTTGGTTTCCATTATTACCCACCTTAATGTGTTTCATTATTGTAGACCCTCTTGGTTGTACAGGCGAGTTATTCTCTTAATCTGGTCACTGTAATGTGTAATACAATCTTTTAAAATCACTGTTGCATTCTTATTGTGCTGTCTAAAGCTTAAACAGTTCTCTCTAATGACTTTTAATGTAACAATACGAAATCTCATTTCAAAGCTCAGAGTCTGTTTAATATCTACATCTTTTATTGGGTGCAGGACATATTTTGATGACTGATGCCATATCTGCAGCAGACACAAAATTAATTCTCATATACAAAGAGAATATATACACAATTTGTTCTGGGTTTTTTTTCCCCTTATAACTGTAGGTTTTGCAATAATGCTTATCACCCAGGTGACTGCTCTAAATTAGTTCTGTATGCAGATACAGGAGTGGACAGACAGGTATGAATGTTGTGCTCTGGTTAGACATAGGAAGTATTTAGCAAATGGGTAGGTCTTGAGTTGTATTCTAAAACTGGTCAGACTTTCTCAGGCTAATTTCCCCTAGTAGCTTGTTGAACAGACACCCCCTCCCCTTTAAAGAATACTTTATCTCTGGTCCTCAGATTCTGGGGGCCTGGTGTGTGTGTGTGTCAGGGGGTTGGGAGGGTGGTAAGCTTCTTTTGTTTTTAAAGCATCATTATCCCAAAGGAACCCAATGATGGAGAGTTGTCGGGATGGAGAGGCAATTTCATGTAGTTAGATCCTGACCATTTACAGATCTGAAGATCAGTGGAAACACTTTAAATTGGCACTGTAGTCTAACTGGTAACCAATGGAGGGTCCTGAGCACGGGAGTCATGTGCTCTTACACAGCTTGACCTGCTGAGGAGTTGAAATTTACTTATTTTCAGAAAGTATAAAGGCACCATAGAAAAAGTTTGGCTTTTTTCAAACTGATCTTAATCTACACACTGTGTGTATTAAAAAAACAAACAAACAAACAAACACTTTCACTGGTTGTGTGTGTGTGGGGGGAGGTAGTAATGGTTTTTTTGGTTTATTTTTTTGATAGCCAGTCATCAGAGTTTAACTCATTTCACTTGTAAAATATAGTAAAATCAGCCTTCTATAACTGTAAAATATGTAAAATTGTAACCATGGTTTTACGTATTCATGAGGAATCTGCCAATTTTAATTATTTTAGTAAAAGTCAACATTACCAACAGTAACCTTTATGGTATTGGAGCCTAGTTTAAGCAAGTGTTGAAAACTGCAGCCTGTTGAATACTATGATGTCTTGATAAATGCTGACTTGTATTGGTCTCTGTATTGCAGTTTGCCAGTCTGTGTGGTTTGGTAGTGGAGGGTTGTTTAGTTTATAGATTCTGTTACATAGTGTTACTCCAATTTGCTATGTCTTAGACTGCTGTCTGGGTCTGCATGGTGTCGTTTGTATTTGCTTAGCAAAGTAACTTCATTTTCTCAAAGAAGGCATTTGTAAAAACTGAGATTGCCTTCCCCAGGGAGCTGAAAACTCTGAAGCTGGAAAATAATGTATTAAGTGATACCAGAAAAAGTAATGGTTTATTTGCCCATCTATTCATTCTGGCTTGTCACTTCTCCCTATGTTACATCTTGGCTTTTCCCATAATGAGCAGACACTTGTCGGCAGAAATCAAGGTGTCTAATAATGGAGTAGACCTTCTACTTATTACTGGCCAGCTGCCTCAACAAGGCTCCAGCTGGAGTCTGCTGTGCTTTGTGCTGGTGTTTGAACACTGGCTGTAGGGGTTGCCAAGCATGCAGTACAGTCAACCTTTCAACTGGGAAAGCTGTCAGATGAAGGGCTGTCTGGTTAGAATATTGTTTCTTCCCAGTGTCTGGGCAAACTTTCTCCCACAACATAGCTTCATTTACACAACCAAACCTTCCACCTACTTTGGAGTGTTACTTTCTCAATGACTAGCTTG